GACTTTACTGAATTGGTGTTAGAAATCCGGATCTTGCTCACGCCTTGTGCCGAGTGCAGTAGATCTCAACACTAGTTTCAGATCGATGAAAACCCGTCCAGCTGTCTTTCCGATCCTGTCTTTGACACCCTCATCTGTGCCAGTACCGCTTGTAGTTGATGCGATGCAGCCTTGACTAGGTAGATGAAAGAGATTACTCCCTTTGGGTTTCTCTCGTAAATGGTGATTGGTGCTTGTTGTTGATGCTGTTGGTAATTTGGTATTTTCATCACCTTTGTCTTCTCTATAGTTACTTGAAGTCCTGTCTTCGCTGCCCTGCCTCTTCCGTCAACTTGTTAGTTTTCGCCTGTAGATCTTTTAGTTTGTGAGACATTAGACATAAATCATCGTCGCCGGGGAAATCCAAATATTCTAGGCTGTTCTCATGTGTCCAGCGTGTAACTACCTACCTTCTCACTCCTAATGGTTTGCTGCATGATCCAGTCCAGTTGACGGCAATCAGCAAGATCATCACCTCACCTTGTACTATAGCTATAAAGATGAAAGCCTCTAGTTACACAATAGGAGTAGATAGGCTGACAGTATTTGAAACTGACTTATTTAGGCGTGGGGACAGATTGAGGACCACATCTCTGTTTATCAAAGCAATACCAGAAATATTCACTTCTAGATACATAGAATATTCTACCTACCCCTATCACAAAGAAGGAAAGGGTATTAAAACTGTGAAGACCATGTTTCAAATTTATGGGGTTATTTGATATAAATATGGACAGTAAATAACATCTGAAACATTATCTAGTGAATTAAACTGCTCCTCCGTGTAACATATCTAATAAACTAACTAAAATGGAATTATAGATACATCTTTTTATTGAAATTCAGTGTAGAGTTTTGTCTCATTGGTTTTAGAAATTTTGTAGATTAGAAAGCCGGGTAGTAATACCACTCCTCATGCAACATCCATGTGTTTAATCAATACATTTTGATTTTTCTGAAGGTCACTGGAGTCTTAAGAAATTGTACTTACTCCAAAATAGAGAAGAAAGTATATCTCTAGGCGTATCACTGTTAAGTGATGTATTATTTAGAAGTGTTGTTTATCTGTGAATTTAATCATGCTAAGACTAAATCAAGATATCATCTTCTTGTGTAACATGATGAAAGTTGTGGAAAGGATAAATTATTAGTAATAATTTTCTTAACAGTTTACAGAAGATGGGTCTACAAATATAAGTTCTGAGATCAGGTTAATACTATGACAGCTAGATCTGATATTTCCCGCTAACTCGGTAAAATTTTCAAGGCAGGTCTAGAAATAAATTAGGAATGTCTGATGTATAGAAATCTGGTTAATTCGCATCAGGTGAAAATTCTCGTCAACAAAGATTCTTTCATATGAATCATTTATTATGGTGGTGTAAAAATGCAAATATTTCTGGGAAAACTAAGATTAAAAAAATAACTTGTACGTTTTTACACACAGGCCAACGTTATTAGGTCGTTACCGAATGCATATTTATGTGATTGATTGATCCATTTTGTTAAGAACACTGACAAAGATTTAGTATAATCTGTTTGGACGAGATTTAGGCATTTTTTTGATGTCCATCGGAGAATCCGTGTCGATTTATTCTACTGTATCTTCGATAACAACACCACATTTGATGTTTATACTGAGTAGTGTTTCGATTTTATGAATGCTTCCTAAAATAATTATTAAAAATAAGCTGAGACATCTAGAATACTTAATTGTGGATACAAAAGACTGTGGACAACAGATGTTACAATTATAGTTGGTTCGGAGCTATCCCTGTTTCAGGAAGGTTTTGTGGTTTATAGCACTCGTCAGGAAGGTATATCTGTAAGCTCCAGGGAAGCTGTGTCTTCCCTCAGATTCAAACCCAGTTCACTCAATTATGCAGTCAGTGACTTTATCATGCAGCTATTCAGGGTCACAGACATGCCTTAGTGCCAACAAGCACGGAACATGAGTTCAGGGCTTCTTACTGATTATGTCCAACCAACTAACATCTATGAACGTGAACCACCATGATGAGCCGTTTAGCTTGGAGGCTAGATTGGTGCAATTCAGGCAGCAAAAAAGACTAGAAAAAATGAAATTAATTGTTCTGGAGTGACTAACAAGTGCACATTTTAGAAGGTTGCCAAAATTTCGCCATTGGTTCAAGTAACAGCTATAATTTAAGTACATTTTCGTAATATGTAACTAGTTTTTTTTATTTATTGAGTTTATGGAAGTTGTTTCACTCTTTCATTCAGTTATAATCTAATTATAGGAAAAGATAAAACAGATGTTTGTGACAGAGAAAGACGTTTCTTTTCGACAAAGTCATTTACTGAGTTGTACATTTGTGAGTATGTATTACAAACGGAGAAACGAAATGTACATTCAGCTCAACAGTAGTACAACTTGTGAATTCAGATAACCCAGATTCTGTTAAGAACTCTTTCGAAACCATCTATAGGGTTCGATCAGACCATTCAAAGTCACTGAGATCAACCTAACAGGATATAGCTGAAGTACTAACTATCCGGAGGTACAAACCAGCGCTGTGTCAAAAAAATCTACTTTCAACCTTTTTATTTGCCATGGGTATGAGAAAGTTTGGTCTGTCACAGGTAAATCCTGCATCACGTAATTACATCTTAGAAGTAAATCCTTTAAATAGTGCTTCGGAATACTTGCTTGAAAATTATTATCTTCGGTGAAATCACATTGAAAACAGATGGTTCTCTTGAGAGGGACATTGGTGAGGACAGAAATCACATTCGGTAGGCGAATGATTTTTCTGAATATAGTTTCTGTCTTTACTGATGTCCCTATCACGGAAACTACGTTTTCTATGTGACTTCAATGGAGATAATAATTTTCACGTGAGTATCCCGAAGTATTATTTAAAGAAATTACTTTTAAGATGTACTTTAAGTATGTAGTTCAATTTTGACTATGAGCCATATAGACAAAAGTATGGGGTCCTTATGGTGTCCTCAACTGAACCGCCCCGAGCTTACTGTTTTATAGCAAACGTGGACAACAGTATGCTTCATTCAATAGTTTATAGTTTTTGCCTATATATCATATGTGATCAAAATATAGATAGTGATACTGTAGTTAAAAGGTTTAACGTTTGTCACTCATCAATCAACTTCACATCAGAATTTGAACAGAACTCAGAATTCCATTTTCTCGATGTCGTACTGAAACGGAGACTAGATGATTCTCTTCAGGAATCAGTTTTAAGGAACTTTCCATGGAATAAATAATACTTGAGGTTTCATAGTTGGGTGCCTCTCAGCAGAAAAAGGAATCTGCTTCCTTCCTTATCTTTGAGAATCAGAATAATCTGCACGACAACAAATTTGAGAAACTATGGAAGATTATCTTGTAAGATGGATACCAATCCAGAAGAAGAGTTTGAAATTGAAACAGAATATGAAACAAGCGCTCACAATTCCAATGGGAACCTTGTGAACGAAAGTTGGTTTCGAAAGTAACACGGCAGCAGAGATCCTGAAGAATTGGTTGTCCAAATCATTGAAGAAGACATTCTTCTTTGTGAAGATACAAATCAGCTTCTCTAATCAGCAGTTGATTTCAGAGTGCGTTAAGGATAAGTTGCTGCGTTGGGCCGCCTCAATATGTGTCTACAAACTTACCTGCTTCTGTGAAGCCAGTTATAAAGGCCAGAGAAAACGTGAACTTTCCAAACGTATCTTTGAGCGGTATCCTATACGGTTATCGAAGTGAGAATATAAATCACTAACACTAAAATTTGGCCAAATCAAGACATATAGGTTAACCAGAATCCTCTTTCAATGTCATATATACATAAATTAGCGCATAGCTTAGTAAACGACTTCATTAAAAAGCAACATTTCTCCTTGCCGCAAATGCATTTTTTATTTTTTCCTTGGTTCAAGTGGGTGTATTCCGTTATTATTTAGTTGAAAATCATTAAATCTATGTGCTTCAGTATGAAAGTAAAGATCGAATTTGCTGTAAGGCATTGTGAACCAAATGGTGTCTCTTCTCTTCATTCTTATTATATACGAGTACACTAATTTGCCACTCTTAGTCAGATTTTGGTTACTTTTGATATGGTTAAGCATGGAATAACTCTTACACGATGCTACATGCCCTTTAGATCCTGATGAACATCACCAAATTCTGGAAGGTGTAACAGTTAAAAACAATTGTTTCGCTTAGTAAGGCATTCTCACTCAACATTATAGCCTTTTATATGTAGTATTTTAACATTTATCCTTTGTAAATAGTCCTAAAAGATAATTTGCCTGCATACTAGTGGATCGAATGAGTTAGGTAGACAATAAGATCAGATAAGAACAAGAATGAAACAATAAAATGTCTAACATTAAGAAAAGGTTTTGCTGAGTCGCTGTGTTAAACATCTTTCTCGCCGTAACACTCATTGCTTGTTTCTTACTCTGTCTGAGGGGGTTCACGTCATCCATGAAGATGGCAGAGGCTAAAATTGCAAATAAGATGATTTGCAATAACAGAAGTGACTGGTTTTATCAATTTTATGACCTGAAATATCGGAACACTTGGGTATCCTGCATGTGTCACTAAACTTATGAATGATCGACAAACCCTTACATCGCGCAGCATGACAATACTGATTGGTTAAGGATAACTGGGAAAGATTTAAAACAGATGGGCACAAGACAGGCATGACTGAAACCACAACAAATTGTACGAACGAAACCAGCTGACTGTAAAACTGATTTTTATCTCAGATTTAAAACTCCTGTAATAACTGTGAAGTGTGTCCTCATGAAATGCAAATTGAGTACATTCGTGATTGTACAACTGAAAAATGTTTTTCTTCCCAGCATTGTGCAAACAGAAATGTGAATAAAACATTGTCTACACAGTAGGTATGCAATGGAAATTAGATTTAAAAAAGCTTTATTTGAAGTTATAAGCTGAAAAAAACTCACACACACACACTTACTTGCTGACTTGATAATCCCTTGGGAACAATACAATTTTGTTCACAAAAATAAATCCAGTTTCTTTTAGTTAATTTATTATCATGTTTGCGAAAATAAAAAAAAGTTTTATAACTATATCTGTATCTTAAGATTGTAAACGGCACTTTTGTTTATTTTTTTGAAAAAGAGACTCGAAAACTATTCCTTTCTGTGAATCTAACATATACATATGAAATATTTTCAATCATTATGTATCACATTAAACTACTTAAATTCTTATTTTGTAGCATTTACCTCACAAATTATAAATATTTACATCCATGAAGATATACAGTATTTATTGTCCTCTTTAGGCCATTCATTATATTCAGATAAATTATATGCAATGTAATTTTAAAGCTTTTTAGAATGATATACAAGGGATAATCACAAACTTTTTCAACTAATAATTGTGCTTTAACAATGGTATCAACATTTCTCGTAGTAATGTTATTAATTATTTGACAACTACTAATATTACTCGCATCAGTAATACTTTTTTATCTATGATTTTAAATTATTCAATGAATTAGAATAAATACATTTACTTCATATGTATCTATCCATTTATAATATTATTGGTGTTATTTGTTATGTGCTGTGTAATGTCTTTCTTTTTCTTATCTTAAGCTACCGGTTGACTTATTTTGCTCAGTAAAATATACAAACCAATCTCTCTCTAGCATTCATATATGATGCATGTCTGTATCACGTTTTCAAGGGATAAAACTATTCTAGTCAATAGGGGAAATATATCCAAATATACCTAACTTTTAAGGAACTAATGCTGGTTTATATACACTAATATTCAATAAATATTAAGTTATCTTTCACCACTGTCTATCTTCACTGATTGAAATTACTGTACAGGTATCATTGGTTGAAGTAACGTTAGTGAACAGAGTACTACTTTCAATGCATGTACAATGGACCTTGGCTAAACTTGTATTTGTGTCCAAGATAAGGAATAAACACCACTCTTTTCAATCAGCCATTATAGTTAGATGAGTATGAGTGAAACATGAAAAGCAGACAGCAAGATGTTGCAAAATCTGGAAAGCAATAACATCTTGAAAACAGCATTGGAATTTTATAAGTATTAAGAAGTTTTATTCATGAGATCCAGCTCCATGAAGGTAGTGAGTTCACTCTTATTTCAGACAACATTTTCCGGTTGTTGAAAGAAAATATGATTCATAAAGTCCAAAATTTATAAAGTCAAGTACCAGTGGATAGCTGGTATAGTCTTGCAGCCTCTAACACTGAACAATGACTTTAGCCTATTAATCACGTTTGTGATGGCGTTAAGGGATCCAACCCTAAGGTGCAAAATATTTCAGTCCAAGTTATTGAGTCAACTAGATTCCTATCGGTTGATACTCAACATTTAACTGGCTTTACTTCATTTTTACTGTCATCAGTTAAATAATACAAGTAGATCTATGTTCCAGAAGAGTTATTTTTCGTATTTAGGAACCTAAAGACTTTAGATGTCTTCAAAGAATACACTACACACTTCTATGACAATAGTCGCTCTTACAGGTCGACGCACAACTCAGATATTTCCACAATTGGTTTCAAAGTGATATTTAAATAAACGAAGTGGTTATTATGATTTACTTCATTATGGCTGGCGAAGGACTTCAGAATGCACGGTTTGTTTTCGTTAGTATTATTTGTGTTTTGAATTATGCATTTGATTGGTATATCAAATGTCATCAGATTGAAAGTAGCACATTGTGAACGTCCTTTTTGTTTACAACTTAACAGTTATTTTGATGAATCAGAAGGCTTACACTTTTGACAGATACATAGCATAGAAATGTGTATCATGCAAGTTACAACAAATCAATGCGAATATTCTTCTATGAAATGGATCATAAAGAAATAAAATTGTTATTCTACCATGTATCATAGTTACAGACATTATAAGCAGTTAACCTCATTGGCGAAATTTGGTTTTTATAGCGAAACTCTTAAAATTTAACCAATAATCCTATATGAGTAGATCAATAAGGTGTTCAGGAATCAGCAATACGATTTCTTGTCGAAAGTAGGTTTTTTTAATACAAAACTTCTTAGACATGTTCTAATGGTTATCAGAATTCTAAGTGTTAGTGAACGCAAATTTAAAACGAGCAACATATTCTGAGCATGAATGCTTGTAGAAAATGTTTGAGTAGTAAAAAGATGCTGAAGTCTTTGTATCTAAGCGTCAGCTTTCAGTAACATGAGGATTTACGCCTAAATATAAATGTCCTCTTCCACTGAAGTAAACGTATGCATAAGTCTAAAATTTAAACATCATTTATCTGCGTTAAAATGTCTCATGATTGTTCGAAAATAATCACTACTTTTCTGAGCGAAGATATTGCTTGCAGTGATAGTTATATACACGGTACATAAATTAACACCAACATTTTCCATCTGTAGTCACATTTTTTCTTTTTGCAAGTTCTTTTGAATACTTCTAAGCAAAACTTTTTGAATAAACATCATCTTATGGGTTGGTTTTAAGCAACACTAGCTTGTTGTTTACTTTATCGTCTTTTTTTAAAATTCCTAACTGTTTAACAACTTTCTGACCAATCCACTTTTATAATTCATTGAGTTAAAGCTATTGCAGTTTAGATATTCTCCAGTTCATGTATCTTTGCAGTAAATGCTTTCCTCGATTTCATCATTACTGCATCCATTTTTTTTGACAAATCAAGAGAGTTTAGGCAGTTTTCATGTTCATACTCCATTATAAAACGACTGTTTGGGTTTGTATTGCTCAAAATCTAAAACATTTCTAAGGCATAATTCAGTCATTTAAAAATCATAAATGCTTAACCTACGAACATCTTATTAAATATATTATCCTTCATAGTTGGTTTCATTGCATTCACTGCAAGGTTTAACATGAAAATATTTGCAAATAGTGGATCAAGTGGGTTTCACATGAGCACTTCATAAGTCTTTCGATGAAGTTAATTGTTGAACTGAAATCAAGTGACTTTCATTCACGTAGTTAAAAGCTACTTAAGGTCTTCTTTAGGTGAAGGGAAAAATTTGGATATCAATAGTTTTGAAAATCGGAATGTTGATACATAAAGAAGAAATATCAAAGCACATGATATTCAAAACTTTCTGCTATTCAACGGAATAAAAGGTGTGTTTCACACTATACACCGGTAGCTTATCGCGGATTAGTGTTATATTGTCTGTTTACTGTAGGGATCAACTGTTGGCATGGAGAGTCTACCACTGATAATCTAGGTCTCAGGTGCCATGCGTTTGGTGAGATTTGGACAACCGTACATAAAAGTAGATGAGAATCTCGGATTGTGAGGTCATAATGAGTACTATTATCAGTCAGATTATTCTTTATTAGGTTTCTCAGGTAGGTTATGACTCTATTTTCTAGTAGAATATTTTATCCTTTTTCTTAGTCGTAGATATAAATCTGAACAACTCACTCAATACAACAAACACGTTATCCAAGTAATCCTTTCTGTTCATAAGGATCATCTCAAAACCTTTATCCGGTCTCATAATCATTAAATCTTTTCGTCTCCTGTGTACATTGCAAAGGATTTTTATACTCATCAGAAGGCATGTGATTTCGCTGTCAAGGAGACTAGATATTGATAAGTGATATCAACAAATTTGTATTCAACCCACTTCTTCTGTCACCGTTCACTGAAAGCAGACCGGACAGCCGGTAGTAAAAGTATTTCAAATGTACCTTGGTGACGACGCTGCTGATTTTTTCCCGAACACAAAATTTGGAACCAAGTGATAATACTGTACAGTTTGTTTAGTTACTTACAAATCTTTTCGAAATACTTGGGAATAAGACGTTTAATTTTTTCTTTAATAAAGACTTCTAAAGAACCTCTGTGCACTTTTAAGGAACTTTTGACTGAAGATTTTGGACATTGTTAAACTTAGTTCTGTATATATGTTCAGATTTTTCAGCATGGGATCAAAGTTGTGTGATCCAGACTTCAGTGTTGAAATTTATTCGTTCGTTTATTGAATGTTAGATTTAGTTATATGTAGAAGATATTTTTGATATAGGGGAAGCTTGTAGTGGTAATACAGTGCTTAAAAGAACTGATGAAGTAAACAGTTAATTTGCGGACATATTTCATAAAACTTGACCATCATGAATTCTCAACCTACTCCGTAACGGATCATCACCCATTAATTATTTGACGTCATAGACTGGGAAGGGAGGCGCTTCTTTAGAAAACTCATACGACATATCTCGCTGATTATTTTCGTCATCATCATCATCAAAAGATAATCTGTGAGAAAAGTGAGATCAACTAATGCCAATCTTTGAATATGAACTGAGCTGACTACTCATATGTTATTATTTTCCCTTGGATTCCCAGTGGAATGTAGGATTTCAGCAGCATGTCTCAATTCCACCCTCTTCTCTCCAGTCTTCTCAACCTGGCACCACGACCGCCCACAAGCTTTCATTTCTTCCTCATATGATCTCCTCCATGTCACTCTCGCCTCGGACGCCCAACTCATCGTCTCCCCTTTGGATTCTACTCAACTGCCTAGCCTGGCGCGTGACACCCCGAATGGTCTTCTCAGTGCATGCCCAATCCATCTCTATCTCCACTTCTGCATATTTGTTGAGCGATAGGTTCTTGTTTGGTTCGTTGTGTGACCAGAGTTCCTTGCTGCTTATTCTTTTTGACCATCTGAGCTTCAGTATCGATCCAGCGCTGGTAGTGATTGATGAATGTCTGTTGTTTGTCGGAAATCCCTTTTGTAACGCACCAAGTTTCTGAGCCATATAGAAGCACTGCCTTGACATTGGTGTTGAAAATCCAGAACTTGTTCTTTATGCTGAGTGCGGAAGATCTCCACACTGGTTTCAGGATAATGGAAGCCTGTCTTGTTTTTCCGATCCTCGTTTCGACTTCCTCCTCCATGCCACCTGTAGTTGAAATGATGCTGCCTAAGTAGATGGGTAGATGAAAGAGACAACTTCCTTTAAGTTTCTCCCATTGATGATGATTGGAGCTTGTTGCTGTTGGTAGTGTTAGGTGGGTATTTTCATCACCTCTGTCTTCCCTACATTCACTTGAAGTCCCGTCTTCGCTGCCCTACCTCCTCTGGCAACTTGTTGGTTTTCGCTTGTAGATCTTCGAGTTTGTGAGACATTAGACATAAATCAACATCGTCGGGGGAATCCAAATCTTCGGTCCAGCATATGTCCTTCTTCTCGCTCCTCGGTAGATAATATGTGTCATATCCCCTTTTGCCTTCAAAAACTAAACTGCACAATGTATTGAACGAATACACAAGTAATTGAATAAGCAGCTTCAAGCTAAGCAGTAAATGTAATAGTACTATGTTGTAACAGATTGCTTTGAGGGAAATACTACGTAATTCTTCATAAATGACAAAGAAAAACATCACATAAATTGAATATTTGGACCCAAGAAAAAGGGTTTGTTGAATAATAAAATGAAAGAAATTTCTGAAATTCTTCAAGAATAACAACTTCAAGCAAATGCGTTAACTATGCAAGTAAATTTGCTGTTTTCAAAGTTATAGATTCCAGATTACAACTGACTTTTATATAAGCCGAATACTTACAAAGAAGCCAGTAACTTATAAAATGTGTTTGCGTATGTAGCGAATCAAAAGAAATTGAACAGCGTTAAGTATAAAATAAGAAAAGAATAATTGTTTCCATCACTGAATGTTCAGTTTTTGTTAAAGTGTAATATGTATTTTTGAGATGAATGGGGATTTTTAATTTAGAAGTAGTATTCATCATGGATTGACATCAGTTGGGGAACCATTGAAAATCTGGGGGCACTGGACAGCTGTTTCGTCCTAGTATGGGACTCCTCAGCGGTACGCACCCAGGACCCGGCTAGAGGTCAAACTCAGGACCTTCAGGTTTCACGGAGAACGCATTAACCACTGAGCCACTGGGTCGACTTCCAGTGGTTCACATAGCGCGACTGTCACCCAACGTCTTCATTTAGTATCCACTTCACATCCAACTGGTTGACACACAGGTGAGTCACTGGAAACCGACCCAGTGGCTGAATGGTTAACGCGTTCGCCGTGAAACCTGAAGAACCTGAGTTCGATCTCTAGCCAGGTGGTCGGTGCTTACAGTGTTATATCTCAAGTGGAATTAGTTTCTGTTGTAAATATTTTTTTTCCTAGAATGGTGTAATAAAAGAGATTTTTAAAATACTTGAAGGGTGAAAAAAAGATGAAGCTATGATATGCTTGATAGATTGAATGATAAAAAACAAATTATTTTTCAGACAATTCGAAGATAGAAGAATTAAATTTCCGAATGAAAACTTATCCGATAATGAACAATATTTTGCTTGAGCATAACCTTTTCATATACAGACTAATTAAACTTATCAATGATAACTATGAAAATATGAAGGTTGAATAAATATTATGAGGTGAAATCAGAAAATGATAACCAGTTTGCTAAATCAAGGATGATACAAGAGTAAAACTTAGGCACTGTGGTAGAATATAATTGAATTTCAGTTGACCTATTAGATGCAGCACACAGTGGAATAGTACTATTTACTCCATTACTTTTCGGATATAAGTCATTGTCCATAGTCATATCACGATGACTGTACAAATTTTAAAGATTCTTTATATAGTCCTAGTTTCCCCACCTCCATTCTGAATGGGTAGTAGGATTTCTGCTCTCGAATAATCTAACTAAGCCTGCTCAACTGTTTTGACCTATGTACTTGAACGAGCAGTTATTGCGAAGGTTTCGGTAAACTGTATTATTCTGCTGAATTGTATCAGTAGAATCTTTTAATCTACAAAGCATATTTCTAAGTGGGCTTGTTAATTGAAACGCAACTCTAATCCAAGGCTTATTGAGAATCCAAAGTAATGTCTTTCAGGTGCCTTCCT